ATCTTCTTACCAGACTTATCCACATCTTCCGGATTTCATTGCAGCATCTTTATCACTCTCGAAAGGCGAAACAGCAGCAGTGATATGAGACTGACAGCGTACCTACATGACAACTCATCTTTTGACATCCATCAATCAGATAACACCAAACAAGACAAAAAAATTTGAAAAGGGAAAACAATCACCAAAAAATATGCGAGTATATGTACGATCATCACCTGACGACAACTGTACAAGTACCACGTCAGTTTGCCGACGACTTTCTTTCTCGCCAAGGCATACCGACGAAACGATTATGTCGAAGACCAGCATCTTGACACTCAGGGCTGTTTCGACCAGATCATAGCGACCATCAATGTGCAATCACTCAAGCACGTTGACAACATATGACTAAGTGCCGCCAATCTTCTTTCTTCTCAAAGGCACGAAAAAAAAAATGAAACCAAAACAAACATTGCAACACTTCACTATGAGCATCTTTTCTCTCACTCTCGGATGTCCAACCATTGATTGTGACCAGTTCAGCAGCGCTACATCTCTCGCATAGTAGCTCGAGAACTCCAAAACAAACAAACAACGCGTGACCAGTTCAGCTCCGCTTCATCACTTTCTTCACTCAAACAGGAAGCAGCTGACGAAACAAAACCAACATGTCAAGACATCAACGATTTACTTTGTCGAGACATCAACAAGAACGTCCTCAATCAACTAGGGATGTTCACCAATGTGACAAGTTTGGGTCTGCACCAACCAACTCTTCAATCTTCGAATCTTCAATCACATACACCAAAAAAAAAGCAGTGACAGCAGACCCGAGCGAAAGAAACCAACATGCCGAGACCCAAATCAATTTTCAGATCGTCTCGACATCAGCGACGTCCTCAAACTTCCAAACTCAGGATGTCCAAACATGTGGCATGTTCAGGACTGCAAACGACCAACCAAAATCTCAAAGCTCCGTTTAAACCAAAAAAGAGCAAGCAGTCCGAACGAAAACCCGAATCAACCATGTCTCGACTAACAACTTCAAACCGTGAACAACTAATTTCAAACTCACACTGTCGGGACATGACGATTCCCCTCTTTGCATGCCTGGTCAAAAAGACAAAAACCTACACTTGACGACCGGCAGCAAAGCTTTGCAACATTGGTCGACACCAATCACAACTCGTCGACCAGAAGCAAAGCAAATCTTGTGGCATAGATTAACACCTGCGATTCAACAGCTTCGGGTAAGAATCATCTTTCCCATCTCCCTTCTTCCAGATGTTTGACACATGACTAACAATGATGACAGGACTCGGTGAAACAAATCCAAATTGAACACACTCAAACCAAATCAATCACGTCGAGTACTCCCACACGCAGTTGAGACCGGTACCCTAAAAAAGGGGCTCCTCAAAGAAAGGAGAAAATCCAGATGGTCCAAAGCAAACTCAACGATAGACTGCAGTAAGTCCTCACTTATCTCACCACTTTCTTGATTTGACGGGCGAGCGGCATAGCTAACAATGACGACAGAACCAAAAACAAAAAACAAAAAAAAACAAAAAAAAAACATGTTGAGTTGGACCATCAACACCAGCGATTCGACAGCTTCGGGTAAGTTGCCCCCCTTCTCCTTCTCTTCCTTCGTCCTCTCGCGCAGCTCAGATATCAGACAAGCTAACGATGAATGTTGTAACAGGCCTCGAGGGAAACAAAACCATATATCGAACCAAACCACCACTTGCTCAAATCACTCATTCACGACGTCGAGGATTCCCATTGTTGTCGAGATCGATACCCCAAATAAGGGGCTCCCCAAAGAAGGGAGAAGGATGGTCCAAATGATGCAAACTGAACTCAAACCAAAAATAAAAAAAAATATCATTGTTGAGTTGGACCATCTTTTATGGGTGCATAAATTGCATTCGAGAGCAAAGCTTGACGAAACACCGAAGAAAAAAGTAAGTTCCATGGCATCAACAAACACACGATCACTGATGATGAAGGAAGCAAATGGCTAACGATTAGTACAGATTCGTGTTGTTTTATGTTGAGTTGGCCTGTCCAGGTTGTAAAATCAGCAACACTCAACAGACTGTCAATGTATGTACCACCTGGTCTCTCCTTCTGTCGCTCTGTTTGGGATTGTTTACTGACTTGGGTGTGTCTGCAACAGAAAGCCGGACATTTTGCTGCTGCAAATGAACCAAACAAACCAAACCAAATCCAATTAAAATCAGGAACCAGGTAACGAATAACGGACATTCAACCATCCATGGCGGCATCTCGACAAAGCTCTTCAACTACTATCTACTTTTGAGCTTCGTCCAGCCACTCGTCCCTCTAGTATTGGCACTACTAGTACTCGTTCCAGCAACAGCAGCAGCAGCGTCGGTCGAGCCAGCCGCATTACCACTCGAACCAAAATTCCCTCTTTCTCTGGCAACGGCTCCCGACAAACCACCGGCACCAACAACAGTCGAAACAGATTCAATCCCGAAATCACCGTTCACCGGTCCATCTCTACCACCAACCTCTTCTCTTCGACGACGTCGCTTAACCAAAACTCCAAGACGACCGTCGTCATGTTCGAAAGCATCGTCCAGCTCGTCACCCTCGATCTTCTCCCACTCCAACATCGGCGCCTCGTTAATCAACCTCTTCTTCAACCGATCCGACATCCGGTGCGGACTGGGGAGTCTGCACCTGTCCAACCACTCCTTCCCTTCCAAACTCTCGAGGAAGTTGTGGATAGTCCCATGAGACCAGCGACCTATAACCAATCTCGGGTTGTTGTTCGCCGTCGTACTCTCTTCAGACGGTGTCGTCTCATTACCTTGACCACTGGGACTTGGACTTTTTGGAAACATGTTCGGATCAACCGAGCGCCGATGGAGATTATCGCCAATCAACAACCGATATAGATTGTGGCCCATGTTGCACAGCTCATCGTAGGTATCCCGCGAATCAAAACCAAACGGGAGACCTTGCGTGCAACAGGCCCAGGCGATATTGTGGGCCAGCAAGCAGACGGCTTCAATAAACATTCCGGCCGTCTGAGGGTCTTCCTTGACTAGAGCGGGCAGCGGCTTTTCGATCCAGAGCGGACGGGGACGGTGGGGGAAAGATCTGGTTTTCTCAACATCGATTGGCGGTCCCTCCAACCCGGACTGCTGGTGTTGACCAGATAACATGGCTGCCGGAAACGGTGGCTCCTCTAATTGATAAGACGCCTGTGGCCATAAAATTGTGGGTCGCGGGTAGTCTTGGTGTGGAAGTGTGATTTGTGAAGGAAGCCGAATGGCGAGATAATGCGAGGTCAGCATCACCAAATGAGTGATGTTGGCTAGGGATGTGTTGATAACCTCCGGTGAGAGGCCTACAGAAACACACAAAAAAAAGTAAGTCAAGCTGATTTTCGGAGGCATTGGGAGAAAAAGGGGCTAACTCACTGTTTAGAGCATGCAAGTCGATAATCTCGACACCGCCGAGCTCATACCGTTTCGAAGAACCCTTGCGAATCTGCCGAAGTCCAAACAATCTGGCAGCCTCCTCGCACAGAAACGATCTCGTCGACGCCATGGTGTCAGCACAAGCAGCCCATTTGAATCGAATACGGCGGATCGACTCCTGGGTCTCCTCCAGCTGGCGGTTTCGCCTCGCTGCAACTCCAGTCGACATGGCCGATAAATCAGACTTCTTCCGGGCGAGAACATCCTTCTTCTTCTCGACCTCCTTCCTGGTCTGCTCGGTCTGTCTCTTCAAGCGCTCACACTGCGCCATGATCTCGGCGGTTCGAGCATTAGCGGCAGCCACTTCCGACTTGAGTCGGTCCAGGTAAGGCTTCCTGCATGGTCCTTCTGCTTCCTCCTCTCCGACGGTGCGCTCTAACTCTTCGTTCTCGATCAGGACTCGTGCGTTCTGCACTCGGAGCGGGTAAAGCCGATTGCGCGCATCAACAGCGCAGAGAAAAGGCACCCTTCCATGATGGGAGCGGTCGCAAAGACTGCAACAAATCATTTTGAACAGGAACAAGAAAGATGGCCTCGTCGAGAAAATCAAAGTGGTGAGTTTGGTTGCGAAGAGGGAAAGGGTTGTCTCGTGGATGTCAGCAACAGAGGGGCTAACTTATTATGCTGGTGGTTATCGATGGAACAGATCTTCATCCAAAGACTCGATGATGACATGACGAAACGGCCGATGTTTGCTGCCCGATGAGATACACTCAAAGCAATACCGATACCGACGAGCGGCGATGAAACAAGACGAATGAATATCGATCAATACCAATCATCTAAAGAGAGAGAAGCGGAGCGGTGTTGGTGTCAAGAAGGAGATAAACAAGATCAAAAACAGTCTCCAGCACACACACACACGCCCCTGGGCGTCATCCGAGGACCAGTCACCGGGATCATGTTTCACAGCATCAAGTCACAATCCTCGCCGCATCTGGTCAAGTGTCAACGCCCTGCTACCTGCCCCGGATTGGCGCGTAGTACCGACCCACTTCCCGCTCTTGCCTAGCTCGCCAGCCGCCCATCGCTCTCGGCCCCTCTTCCAGAGGCTCCAGCGCCCTCCACTCGCTGTGAGCGAATCCTCCACAGCTGCAACCGCGTCCATTCGGCGGCTCCCGGTCTCACCAAAAGTAGAGGTACCTAACCTCAACGTCCTCTCATCCAAGCGAGGTCACAGAAAGGAAGCGACGAAGACGAGACCTCGACTTCTCTGTCACACTCACACACTTGCACAAAACTTGCAGTGTAGCACAATCCAATCGGCAACAACGCACTCATCGGGCAGCAGATACTCTCAAGACATCGGCCAAGTCTACAAACAAGTACCAGTCAGTCTCCCAGAAGAAAGAGACACAACAACTAAACATCCAATCAACAGCAAAGTGAAAGCGGCATCACTTGCGACAACTCATAAACAACAACAAAAGGAAAGAGCAATACACGCCTTTCACTCACGCCTACCAGCGCCTTCCGCCCTTGTCCACACAAACCAACAACATGGCATCTACCCCGCCTCAAATACGGCAAGAACGGCCAGAGTCGCCTGATTCGGATCTGAGCACCGCTTCTCCAGCCGGCAGCGAGCACAACCGCAGCTCTTACTTTGGCGGGGACGACTCTTTTGACCACAACATCCAGTCACCTCAGTCGCCTCGGTCACCTCAATCACCTCGATCACCTCGATCGCCTCAGTCGCCTCAATCACCTCGATCACCTCAGTCGCCTCAGTCGCCTCAGCTCCTTTCGCCTCTTCAACCAGTGCGCTCAACGCCCATCGTCCCTATCATGGACAACAACAGCAACACAAGCGGCGGCCCAGACAGCGACGATGACGACCTGGCCAACAGCCCCAGTGACCACGGCAATAACGCAGAGCCGACAGTCACCCAGTTCCAACAGGATCAACAAAACCGCTCCTCCTCCCCCCCCTTCCTCCCTGCCACAGTTTTCCAAGGCAGCAACAACAATCACAACTCACAGCGCCCCCAGGTCAAGACTCCTGAGCCGCGCAACAACACCACCACTCCCACCAACGAACCGATTACCATCACCAGCCAGAACAGTAGCAACCAAGGTAACCACAACCACAGCCTTTATCAGACCCTCAACCCAATCAAAACCTCCATCAACCCAACCCCTCGGAACATTCTCGCCGCGCACACTCTTTCGTCGCCCAGCACTCCAGGCACTCTACCCAACTTTGACTGGGACGACTTCGTCACGCGCTACACCGAGTCCCTCTCAGCCGCCGACGCCCAAGAGCAAGAACTCCTTGAAGAATTCCAGCAGCTGGTCCAGTACTTCAACGTGTGGGCTTCATCTTCTTCGGCTCACGACACGGACCGCGCCGTCAAGCGTCTGCAGACGCGCGAGCGGTACGTGCGCCTTTCGGAACAGAATCTGGCGCAGAGGAGAAAGCATTTGACAGAGGTGGTGAGGGCTTTTCAGAGCGCGCTGGCGCTGTTGAGTCAATCTTCTTGATGGCACAATGAATCATGTCGTTTGGTTGAGACAAGAAACAAAAGTGGTGGTTGATCTTTAAGTGGTGGTGAGGAGGAGGAGCGGCAGCAGTATAAGCACATGACTGCTTTTACAGAAAATGAACAAAAAAAAGAGAAAAAAAAAAAAAGGAAAAAAACTAAAGGCGTGGTCCCCGTGGCGGCTTGACCGTGGGTCGGACACATGCCGTGGTGGAGGGTAGTTTGGAAGAGGGGAAGGCGTGATCCCAAAGGCGGCTTTGACCGTGGGTCGGATGCACGCCGTGGAAGGAGAAGTGTGAAGTGGGTTGTGTTTTTGCGTGGTTTTTTTTGGTAGTTTTGTCTAGAATAGCTGTAGATAGCTTGGCCTCCGGGCAGGTTGAGGGCCAAGGGCCCGACAGGTATGTTCACTTTTTTGCCTAACCCCTTCTATTTACCGCAGTTTTACTAACTCTTCTACATGCCAGGGTCGGGGTCAAGGGGAATCTGGGGCGCATGTATGTATCCTACTTTTCCTTTCTTTTTTCTTTGATCATACAGGGACTAACTGTTCTACACTTACAGGAAGAGGAATCGGGACGGGGGAGGAAGAGGGGTGCAGATAGGGTGCGCATTATATAGGTTGGAGAGAATCAGGTTTTCGAGTGTTGGTGATGAGAAGAAAGAAACGAGAAAAGCAAGCATAAAGTGCTCGAAATGGGGAAGTGGTCAGGGAGCATAAATTGCTCAGGAGGAGCTTGAAAAGGGTTGACACAGTCACCAGACAAAGTCGGTGAGCTTACGATGATGAGGGTGAGGGTGGAAGACGAATTTCATGTGTTGAGAGTTTTTGTATACCAGACAGAAGTCTGTGTGGATTATACAAGCAAAATTGCTGCGAAAATTGGAACCGGGAAGAAGCAAGGTCTTCTGTTGCGGTGACAATGCTGGTGGTGGTTGTTAAACCAAGCGCTTTAACAACTTTGGGCTCCAAGGGGGTCACAATACAAACAGGTATAAGCGGTGGATGATGGTAAAAAACGTCAACACATTTCTCATGTTTCTCACAACTGTTTTATGTGAATGGTGGCATCCTTGCTCATAGGTGACATGACGTCTTGACATATTGCATCTGTTGTTACCATCTACGACAACGATGTATTCAAGATCGACGTGTGCTGACGTTGTGGACCAACAATTGTCATATCTAGCCACGGCCCAGCCCCTAAAATTCATTGAAATGATGAGAAACCAGTAAATCAATTCTTTTTGATACCCCCGCAACGCCTTGATCCATCCAACCAGAAATATACGTGAAATCTAACCATGGTCAACCCGACATTGATAGTACACGGGTATCATGAGAAGCAACGCTTCTTCCACGCCATGCCGTGCTCAATAACCAAGAAAATTCTCAGCCCCGTCCTCCACTCATCGTTGTCAATCTACCATCCGTCAATACCCCCTTTCTCATGATTCATTCAAGGCATCACCGCCTATCTCGCCTCCTGCGCATCTTTCTTTATCGTCCCGTACCCTCCATCCATAGTCGAGTCGGCCCTCGATCCCTGAGAGTTCGAAACCAACGTACTCCCCTCATCCAACACCTCCACTCCCTCTTCCTCCTCCTCCTCCTCTCCCTCCTCTTCACTACTCTCCTCAGAATCCGTCTGCAAACTCCTCGTTGGCCCCTCCCCCTCCACAATCCACCAACTCGGTATCGCCCCGATCGCCGCCACAAGACTCAAAAACCACCAAGGAGCAATGATATAATCCCTCCCCGTCACACCCCACGTAAAGATCGCTCCGGCCATGGCGGGACCAATCGCCCTTCCCAACCCCGAAAAAGTCGTCGCGAATCCGTTCAACGTTCCCAAAATGCGCAGGGAGGAGGCCGAGTTGGTGAGTAGGATGGTGGTGCAGGGAAAGCCAATAATGACAGCAACGCCTTTGATCAAGATGAGGGTGAGGAAGACGGCGTAGCGCGTGTGCGTGTCTTCTATCAGCGCCGTGTACGGCGTCAACAGGTAGACGATGGGGAACAGGAGGGTGGCGGCGCGGAAACACCTCAATACCCCGAACCGGGCGCAGAACCAGGGGAACAGGAAAAACTGGACGACGCCGCACGCGATGCCGTACACGGTGTAGATGGTGCCGATCTTGTCCGAACCCAAACCGAAGCCGCCGCTGAATTTGAAGGGGAGGTGCGTGTTGGACGGGGTCCGGTCGTGCGGGGATAAGCGCGGGTAGTTGAGGAAGACGGGGAGGACTTGGTCGAAGGTTACCGAGTGAAGGGCGAGAAAGGTGTAGGAGGTTAGGTTGATGATGGTTTGCGGGGTGAAAATCTCGCGGAGGGTCGGAGGGTCGGTTTCCACAGAGGCTATGGAGGTGGGGAGGGAGGATGGGGCGAGTAAGGGGGCGGAGGCGCCGTCGTCGACAAAAGAGTGTCGTCTATTGTTTCGGTGGTGGTGGTGATAGTGAGGGCCACGGCGTTTAAAGGGGCGAGTGAGTTTCTCCCCCAAGGCAAGACCCCAATCCCGATGGCCGCGTCGGCTTTCGAGCGTTTCACGGAGGAAGAGGAGACCGGTCATGAGGGAAATGAAGAAGATGATGCCGGCGACGATGTTGGGGAGCGCAAAGGGGTACTTTTTGAAGAAGTCGATGTTGCCAAAGAGAGAAGGGTATTGCTTGGCGGGCTGGGCGAAGAAACCGCCAAAGGCGGGACCAAAGACGCTGCCGATGGACCAGACGAGAGGCATGAGCGAGAAGGCTTTGGGTTGGAGTTCTTTTTCCGGAACCATTTCTGCTACCATCGTTCGGAGGATGCCGACTGAACGCCATATGTTAGTGTTTCCTTGTTTGAGCATACCGAGGTCTCTTTCTTACCATTTCCATTTCCAGCTCCCATGATGAACCGCACGGTGATGGCCATGGTGAGACTAGTCGACAGACCCCATAAGATGAAGCAGATCATGGTGCTTGTGATACCGAGGAGAATGATAGGCTTGCGGCCGAACCGGTCGGATGCTCTCCCCCAAGGCACGGCGGCCATGCTTTGCGCAACTGAGAAGATGGATCCTGTGAAGCCGGCCCATTTCGCCACCTCGTTCTTCGGAACCCCGAAACTCTTAATCATCTCGGGGAGGTAAGGGTAGATGGATGTTGCGGCTAGGGGTTCAGCGAATCTGGCGATGGCTGTGGTTGATGATTGTTAGCATAGTGTTCACTCAGATGAGATATGACTACTTGCAGAGGGGACTAAAGGGCTCTTCAACAGCATGATGTGATTCTAAAGTGATGATGGCTACTTACCCAGAATTGCCAGCTGTTGCTTTGGCAGTTTGGGGCCATCTTTGTTTTTCGTTACCATGATGGCAATGGTCTACTCTGTATAACTCGTAATTCTGGATTCGAGGATGCGAAAATGAATTCCAGGATAGTATATTTTGAAGTGGAAACAAACGTAATGCTCAAGCAAATAACTTGAGCAATGAAGAAGAAGCGCCAGAGTCTACTATCTTATACGGGGTGGCGACTATGACTGGACGAGGTGGCAGGGCAGAATCGGTGAAGGTTGTCGGATTTTGAGGCCCTTGAAATGCGGACGAAGGAGGGGCAGAAAGCGGATCAGGAAGAAGATAAACTACAAAAAGAAAAAAAAGTATTTAAAGACTGAAGAAAGCGCTGCAGCAAGAGAAACTCGAATCCTAGACCCCGGAAATAAAAAAAAAAAGTTATCAGCCAAAAAGAGGCGTAGGACGGTGGTGTCGAGAAAAAGGATCGCTGTTCGTCACATGCGGCTTTATGCGGAACTAACGGGAGGTACGGATGGACAATGTTCCATTGCCTATCTTTGCAGTGCTTGGAACGCTAAAAGGACCCTTGCCGAGCCATTGAGAAAGCTGCCTGGAGCCCACCGTATTCCATTGTGTCCACCATTCGCTTCCTGTAGGAATTAATTCACTGCAGGTACAAAAGAAACTTTGGCTGGAGATTTACACTTATCTGTGACTGTCCTTCCCAGCCATGGAACACAATAAATGGCAAAGAATTGCTTGAGCCTCCTTCCAGTTTTACCACCATCCTCAATGGATGGTCTCTTGCTTCTGTCAAGCGTTGTACATCCAATTGATAACGGCGGTCAGCTGTAGTTCGGCTGTGACTCGACCGGTGAGGACTCTTGGAGCATCGATGTCAGTATGTGTCAGAACTCACCATACTCTGTTGACGTTGTGAGATATTGCATGCATATTACTCGCATTTTTCTCTGTCTCAGCAGTCACACGCACATATTACATTCGGGGGACCCGTCGGCTTTCCGCCCTCTGTGTTGGTGTGTCCGAAGCCGTGGTCGGCCTCGAAGATCACAGGGTTGACGTTCACCCTCAATTGTCATTGGCTGCCATTGGAACGCCGGCTTACTTACATGCTATACGCAGTACAACCTTCGCCTTTCATCGATCTGTCAGTACAGCATCGTGACTCAAACCTGCAGGCACTTACGGAACTCTTGCCCGCCCTTCAACAAGCCTTGTTTGCTGCATAGGCTATTGACTCCCGCGTCAAGGGCGCCAAAGTCAACATGGCCACCAGGCCTCGAGGCTTACAGTTCAATGGCTTTTGATGAAGTGATCAGATGATACACTAGACGGACTGTTCAAACTTAGTGAGGGGAAATATCAAATTTTTGGATCGTGTTTTTTTCTGTTTCGTTTTTGGCTTCGGTTGCGGATCGGCGTCAGCCAAAACGAACGAACGGAAATCCAACTCCTCCTGTCACTGGCCAACGGCAATTCCAACGGTCAATCACTGTGCCAGAGTGTGATGATGACCGTGATTTCGTACTGTATTTACATCGTGCGGGGAACTGAACTTCAACCCTCAAACCATGAGGGGTCACTGCTACGATACATATTAAAGCCTGGCCAGGCAAGATTGTGCCGGCCAGCCCTGCAATGACGCCAACCGTAAAGTCCGAGGAATTGTTGCAAATGTCACCGTCGATAATTCATGGAAGAACGTCAATTCGACTCGAGCAACTCTTATGATTGGTAGGCGCACCGTTATCACAATCGGATATTGCGGCACCTCCCGTGGCTGCAGGCGACTCGGACTTTGTTACCTAGCTTGCGAGACCTGCCAATAGGTAGAGAGTCCTAGGGAGTCAATTGTCACTACAGTTAAGTAGATTGTGAGGTTACGTTAGGTGAGGAGGTGACTTGGTGACGACGTACATTCAGATGGAACTCGCTCAACTTCCTTTCTTTTCATCTCGTCACTGTGAATTCCATCTGTCTTCATCGTGGCATGGCCAAACCCCATCATCTCCACTCCATGGACATCCGACAAAGTGTAAGTGAGACATCGCACCCTCTTCTATCGCTTAAACATTTCTTCGTCCACTTCCCCTCACACCCTCTCACGAGACCAGTTGTCCCGATATGGGCTTCTCGTTTCCCGCTCTCGGTCCGTTAAACCCTCGGTTTACTTCCTATTGGATGTTCACAATACTCTTCAACCTCCATCGATTACACCCTTTCCTTCAGCTACTGACCCTCAACATGCAGTGTTCATCAGACTAGATATTCAAATATAGATACAGCTTAAGCAAGCTTCAACATGGGTACCCCCTCGGAGCATACCCCCCTCATCGCCACGGTGGAAGTTGGGGCTGCTCCTCGGCGTCGGTATTCCCACCATGTCGCCCGCCGATTCTTCACCCTTTTACTTTCTTCCATCCTCTTTTGGTTCTTCTTGTTCTTCATCGCCTCCTTCACTTTTCTTCCCCGTCCTTCGTCGTGGCCTGGCTGTGGTCATGGTCGAAGCAAGGTAGACTATAAGCAGTTGCGACAGCTACTTCTCGACACTCCTAGTAGCAAAAAGGCCGAGGAGTGGCAGAGATACTACACTGCCGGGCCCCATCTTGCTGGCAAGAACTACTCCCAGGTATGTTAGCGTTTCCCTCAAAAACAATAGTCAAAAGCCATGCATTCTCATTCCTTTTGTAGGCACTCTGGACAAAGGAAAAGTGGGAAGAGTTTGGTGTCCAGTCACACATCGTCGACTATGAGGTCTACATCAACTACCCAGTTGACCATCGCCTGGCACTCCTGAATAAGGAAGACAAGAAGAACGACAGCAGCTCGGACAACTGGCAGGTTTCTTTTGAAGCCACACTTGAAGAGGACATCCTCGATGAGGATCCGAGCACAAGTTTGCCCGATAGAGTCCCCGTCTTCCACGGTTATTCTGCCTCCGGCAACGTCACCGCACCCGTGGTCTACGTCAACTACGGCACGTACCAGGATTTTGAGGACCTGCTCAAGGCCAACGTCAGCCTTGCTGGGAAGATCGCCATTGCTCGTTATGGCCTCATCTTCCGTGGGCTCAAGGTCAAGAGGGCGCAGGAGTTGGGGATGATCGGCGTTATCATCTTCACTGATCCCGGTGAAGATGGTGAAATGACGGAAGAGAACGGCTACGCTCCTTACCCCGAAGGACCGGCTCGTCAACCTAGCAGTGTCCAGCGGGGAAGTACCCAATTCCTCAGTGTTGCTCCAGGCGACCCGTAAGTCATTGTGTTTTGGCAGTCGTGTATAAAGAGAACTAACGTTGATAACAGGACAACGCCGGGCTATCCTTCCAAACCCGGGGTCCCTCGGGGGCCGGTTGACGGAGCTATTCCCAGCATACCCTCGATCCCTCTCTCCTACGCCGAAGCTCTTCCTATTCTCAAGGCCCTCAATGGTCATGGCCCCAAGGCTTCGGATTTCAACAAGTGGTGGACTGCTCGGACTGGTCTAGGCCACAAGGGCGTTCACTATAACATTGGACCGACGCCGGATGACGTTGTTGTGAACCTATACAACGAGCAGGAATACGTTACTACTCCTTTGTGGAACGTTATCGGCATCATCAACGGTACCATTCCGGATGAGGTGATTGGTGAGTCATCTTCCCCCTGGACATGCGGGAGACGTACCCTTCGTGAGCCCAATACTGACTTGTAACATAGTCATCGGCAACCACCGCGATGCCTGGATTGCGGGCGGTGCTGGTGATCCGAATAGCGGCTCTGCAGTTCTCAACGAGGTTATCCGTTCCTTCGGAGAAGCTTTGCGTCTTGGTTGGAAGCCCTTGCGTACCATCGTCTTTGCTAGCTGGGATGGTGAAGAATACGGTCTTGTCGGATCCACCGAATGGGTTGAGGAGTATCTTCCCTGGTTGAGTGCCGCCAATGTTGCCTATTTAAACATCGACGTCGGCGTCCGGGGTAAGGTCTTTTCAGCCTCTGCCGCTCCTCTCCTCAACAGCATCATCTACTCCGCCACCGGAGCCGTCGAGTCCCCCGATCATCCGGGCCACTCCATCCTCGAGAAGAATTGGGACAAGAAGATCGATACCATGGGAAGCGGCAGTGATTTTACCGCCTTCCAGGACTTCGCCGGCATCCCTTCCCTAGACGTTGGTTTCGGTGCTGGCAAAGACGACCCGGTCTACCACTACCACAGCAACTACGACAGTTTTTACTGGATGAAGAAGTACGGTGACCCAGGGTTCGTCTACCACCGGACCATGGCCCAGATCTTCGGCCTCCTTATCGCCGAGCTCGCCCATCTTCCTGTGCTCGCTTTCAGCGCCGAGAGCTACGCTACGGCGCTAGACGGCTACGTCACCCAGATAGAAGACAAGCTGAACGCCGCGCTCCACCCACCCAAGGAGGAGGAGGTCGACATCTCTACCCTCACCGAGCAGGTCATTTCCGAGTTGCGCGGTAACCACTACAACAGCAGCAGCAGCACTGCCATTGCATCCAGCACCTCCAAGGCCGCCGTCAAGGCCTTCCGGGACTCTTTCAAGCGTCTCCACGACGCAGTCGACAAGCTAACGGAAAAGGCCGCCCGCCTCGACGCCGAAGCAGAGGACCTCAGGAGCCAGGCACGCGAGCACATCCCGTGGTACCACTGGCACCAGAAGATCAGGTTGGGGTATCAGATCCGCAAGGTTAACACCAAGTACAAGTATATCGAGAGGAGCTTTTTGTTCAGCGAAGGGCTGGATGGGAGACCGTGGTTCAAGCATGTAGTGTTTGCGCCGGGGTTGTGGACTGGGTATTCTGGAGGTATGTTTTATCCTTTCTTTCTTTTCTTCTTTTTAGTCCCCTTCTTTGCGTGGCATTGTTCAATGATTTGATGCTAACTGAATCATTTCTATAGCGGTGTTCCCTGGGCTCGTTGAAAGCATCGATGCGAGGGATTGGAGTAATGCTGAGAGATGGGTAGATATCATTGAGGCTTGCATTAAAAATGCGGCGAGGAAGTTGTGACTTGATGATTGGAAAAGTTAGGTAAGGTGATGTGTAGGTTCAAATCAAACCGCTTTGGGGTTTCGGTGTATCTATGGTCTTAAATTGTCGACGTTGCCATTGAGCTAACATTGAGCGAGACATGACGTTCACAAAGATATTTCAAACGAGAACCGCACATCTTGAATGATCCATTTTATCCTCTCCTCGACTGTACCCAGATTATGTGGTTGTATATTCCTTCGCCTTAACATCAAAACTCGGTCCTCAACAATGAGTCAATCCCATCCCACGAGCACATTCTCTGTCGTGATATATTCAGACTGCGGAGCCGTATGCACACAAACCGAATAACACCCAGTAACCGCTTATTCCACTCTCTACGCACACACGCACCGTGTTCGCTCTTCTTCCTGGGTTTCCTTCAGTTCTCTTCTTCGTGAAGCCAACAACCGTCATCCCCCTATCCTCGCCCACCAGCTATTATTCACCCAACGACTTCTAGCTACCTACTCACGGCAACTGATAAATTCCCGCCCGCACTCCGGTTGGCCCGTAATGCGTCGGCAAAGGTGGCGTCGTCGGAACAGGCGACACCGCCCACGGCTGTTGAAACTGCGTATAATTCATCGTTCCTCCGGTAGAATGCGGTGACACCGGTGAGTAGTAAACCGATGGTTGTCCTTGACCCTGGTCTTGTGGTTGTTGATATGCTTGGTACTGCCTTTGATGGTGCGGCTGCTGCTGGTTCTGCTGCTGGAGGTACGGTTGCTGTTGGTGTTGGTGTTGCTGACTGGATACCGGGGTGTAAGCCGGCACTGGGGCTGACGGCTGCTGGTTGTGGTTCTGGCGGTGGTTGTGGGTGGACGGAACAGAGATGGGCGTCGAGTCGATTTCCTGGTGATGATAGGGAAGTTTCTCGTTGGGGGTGGTGACGATGGCTGCGGGGGCAGGAACGGCATTGGGGGAAAAGAGGATGGTATTGCTGTTGTCGGTGCCGCTGTTGCTGGAAGGAGAGGATTGGACGGGTTTGCTGTGTAGTCCGGCGGCGCGGTGGCGGTGGAGGAAAACGGAGTGGATAATGAGGGATATGAGGTGGAGGATGCTGTGTTTGGTCTATCTGTTAACGAGGAGAGTTTGTGAAGGGGTGATGGTGTGATCTTTCAGGAATTGGGAAGGGAGAACAACAGAGGGGAAAACGGGAATATCGAGAAGAAGAAAAAAAAAAAAAAAAAAAACACGAAACTCACAACTCAATCCCCCCCAACGCAGCAGCAGCAGCAATAACACAAATTGGCGCCACCAACGTTGCCACGGCCGCGGATTCATCATATCCACCATTATCATAGATGTCATCTAACCCACTGTCACCATATCTCCCATCATCGCCAGCACCCGACCTCGCCTTACTCCCCACCGCCCCTTTCAAAGCGGCCAAAATCCCATATGTGTAAGAGTCATATGAGTCTTCATCGGGGGTAAAATCGCCATAATACGTCCAAAGCGTGAAGAACCAAATGATCTCCGAAGCCAGCAGCGCAAAGGAGGCGAGCCATAGAACCAAAACCAAAATATCGACGGCGAGGACGGCCCAGTAGTTGTAGGCTTTGGGGGTGGAGAAGCGCGTGATGAGATGGTAGGTTGATGATATGAGAGTCATTACGGCCTGTTGCCCACATCCAGGAGAGGTAAGAGGGGTGGGTTAGTGGTGAGTCTATATAAGGTTGGAAAGGGAAGGGAGTTTTGAATGGTGGTGGGTGTGGTGATGGATGGATAAGTTGAGACCGGAGGAGGAAAAAACATACAACTGCTAGGATCAAGACGTCTCCGTCAAAGGCAAAGATGTGTACTCCGAAGGCGGAGAGACCGGCGATGAGAATGGCGATGATGAGTTGGATGATGCGGATGGCGATGAAGCCTTTGGGGTAGAGGGGGATGTGCTCCCGTCCGGGAGCACGGTCGGAAGAGTATTTGGAGTATGCCATCGTATCTTAGTTGGGTGGGCTTTCGTGATGACTTGTTGGCCTTGTTGTGTTGGTGATTGCTAACCCGAGACTAAAGGAAAGATTGCACAGGATGTTTGATGCTTGCCAATATCTCCTGATGAGAAGGAAGGTCGGGAAGATGCTCAACAGGCTACACAACTATTGTCCCGATGCCCAAAGAAAAGGAAAAAGGTTGAGTAAAACACATCCCGAGACCCCTAGAAAGAGAAAGACCTGGACTTGGAGGCAAGGTAGTCACCCCTTTTCAACCACCGCCCAAGCCTCTCCTCCACCTACCTGACTCTACCCTACTCAGCTCGTCGATATCTCCTCCTGTTGTATGCAAAATGTTATCGTACATGTCTTCCGCTCTGGAATATATGTGGCGTTCCCACATTCAGGCACACCCATGCCAGGACAAGAAAATGAACCAAAGTCTGCCTTACGAAACAAAGTAGTACACCTAGAAGAGGACAGGAAGAGCTCGAGAAAATACATTTGGTGTACACCAACAGCTAGACAGATAGCCAGTAAATTTGCCGTCCAAAAAGAGTGTAAATGTGCAAGTCCCGTCACGTCCCGATCAAGCATTTCAGTGGTACGGCTGAAGATGTAGATCCAGCCTCCGAGGATCCCAAGATGTCCCGGTGCGAGGTGGCTTAACCGGCGAACCAATATGAGCGAGAAAAAAGAAGAAAAGCCGGCGGGTAGCTGGTAAAAGTGTTCAGGGAACCAGGGGTACAGATCAGGTTATATATCGCGAGATAATACATTCTTTGTACGCCGAGCCGGTCGATGAGTGAGTAAGTGATCTGTCGAGTAGAGTTGTTCTGTATCTATGAAGATACTTCGTGTCACCCTTGTTCGTTAACTTTCTCGTTCGCTACCAGTTTCAGCTTGGGAGCATACCTCTACACAGCATACTTAGGTACCTTCCACCTCCCATACCTACTCCCGGTACAATACTCATATGAGTGACTCGTCTCTGTAGGTCTTGTGTAACAGTGGCTGTGGAAGCGAAACTCCCGTTATGCGCTTCACCAAACCGCCCACGACCCACAACTATGTATGTGTACAGGCCAATTTCCGTCTTTAGCATCCGCCCACTATTTGTACATGAGGGGAGACACCTTAAGTTCCTACACGCCATAAGAGACACGCCGACGACGTCCTGGTCCTAACCACGAGCAAGAGCCTGAGCCCACCCCCCCTTCTCTTCTCATCCACTGCTCCAAGATTTCTGTGTCGCCAATCACAACTTAGTTCGTCGAGTCGCTCCTTGTCCAGACTGGCGGTCGAAGGATATACAAGAGGGAGCGAGAGGCAGGGACGGCCGAGAAGTTGCCAGCAGCGACTGGTCAGCAAATTCCTGACTTCCCACCATTCCAGGCAATCGCAACGCCCACATCAAAAGAGCCCAACCAAGCCCAAATACTCCTCCGCCACCCTCCACCTACTCGACAATCTACTCAAACACCTCCCCACATCTTCTGCCGCCTGCAACACTCCCACATTCCCTCCTGTACTTCCTCCTTCCCCAAGGGACCCGTTCTCCCCTAACCCAATTCCACCATCATCACCCCCCTCCTTCCATAACCACCTCAACGTCGCCATCCCGTTATATATCCCGTCTAAACAGAGCGGACTAACCTTCGCCAAACCCTGCGGCAACATGACCGCATCCAACAACTCCATGCACATCTCGCGGATGACACCACTCGAAAGCGAGCGCAGGCCTGCTACGGCCCGCACCTGCAAGGCCTGTTGGTTAGCGGTTTTTGGTTGGAGGTTCTCGAAACCCTGCGCACCGGTCCCACAAAGAAGGTTCTCGGGACAGCAGTGGACGTCGTAGAGGAGGAACAGGGCGGAGTGGGTTAGACTTAAAGGGGGCAGGGAGTGGGGGTCTAAAGGTTGGGGTTGGGGAGATAAGGAAGAAGAGAAATCGAAAGGAGAGGGGGGGTAGTGGTATGGGGGGTTGAGTGGGATGGAGCTGGGGGTTAGAAAGTGCCAGTTCGGCGGGGGTGGGGAGGTTGATGATGAGGTTGATGAAGTTGACTCTGCAGATTTTTGGTTGCGTAATACGGCGAGGCTGGGGAGGAGTTCTTGTTGAATGAGGGTGCTGAAGGAGGTGAGGGTGTTGATGAGGTCGTCAACTTCGTTGATGTCGAAAGGATCAATGTCACCCCCTAGTTGATGGTTGCGTAGGGTGGTCCGGACGTGGGTTATGGTTCTGCTGACGAGCATGGATGATTGGACTAGACGGGCGAAACGACCTTGTGGCTGCTCGAGAGGGGTGGTGATTCCTGCGCTGAGGGCACGGCCTGGATCTCCGCTGTCCTGTGACGGGAGGAGTTAGTTAGGTATTGGATTAGAAAAGAAAAAGGAGGAAAACTTACCCAAGCATCATCATCCGTGGGCAAGAGATAATGCTTTTCCGGCTCCGGCACCACAAACCGCTTCTTGTTTCCCAAGCAGATCACCCTATCCAGGATGTAAATAGCCCACCAGACCCTTCTCCTTTCCTCAGACTCGGTCCAAGTCGTCTATCCCTAGATCAGAGGGCAGGTGTTAATCCGCCCAGCACAAAGTCAGCACACGATCTCATGCGAATTTTTAGGTTTCCACGAAGAAAAAAAAAAAAAAAAAAAAAAAAAAAAAAAAAAGAGAACTAACCACAGCCCCCAAAACCGCCCAACTCTCCTTGAACCCCGGCAACCCACACATCTCCGCATACCTCGCACACGCCGCCACACTCATCCACGCCGCCGGATATATCCCCTGCCCGTACTCATACAACGCAACCAATACCATCCCTTGCAAACACAACAAACTCACACACCCTCCACTCTCCAACAAGGCCAGCAACCTTTTGGCTGCCATATACACCGGGTTATCCGCACTGTCCATGCCCTCGACCGGCAGCGTGACGATGAGCTTCATGCCCAAAAACAACATGGCCAAGTCCGGCCCGGCTTCCCATAGGGTATGCCCCAGCGTCATGCGCTTCTTGGAGATGAAGGGGAACCACCGGTGCACCGTGTCGAAGTACTCGGCGGCGCAGTCTTGGACCGTTTTGCCGCTGCTGAGGATGTCGTAGACGTCGCGCGGGACGGCGACGGATGGAGCCGGGACGGAGAGTTGGGCCCATTTGAAAATGTCGACATCGAGGAGGAGGGCGGAGGGGAAGCGGCTGGCGGCGGGGAGCCAAAGGGGGCCGCGAGAGTTGATGACTGGTGCTGGATGGGTGGTGGCGGCATTGTCACGGCTGTTTGTGGTGGTGGTGGTCTCTGGTGTGAATAGGTTGGTGCTGGGGGATGATGAGCTCGTGCTGGTGGTTTCCTTGCCGCCAGCTAAGGCGAGCCGGTTTTCGAGCTCGGCGAGACGGGCTTGTAGTGCGGCTACATCAGTTGCGGTGGGTACGGATGATGAGTCGCTGTAGTCGCATTGACGGTTCATCCTGGCACAAAGCCCACATGATGGGACCGATTTGTCGCATTTCCTCCTTTGAATGAAGTCAGCAAATGAATTGTGGCTATGTGAGTGGTCTAATGTAGGGAACAAGCTTCAAACTTGAGAGGTGATGGATGGTAGGTATGGATGGTGATGTTTTCGAAATCGGGCTTGTGTGATGGTGGATGAGGGCAAGTATCATTCATACTTTTGTTTACGACAATTGATGCACGCTTGGCTGGCTTTGGGCACTTGTAAGCTGACCGGGCCGTCTTCGCGCGGCTGTAAACTCAAAACCATGATGGACTTGAGCAAGTCCTTGGAATACAATAAGAAAGCTGTAACCAGTAATTATAAAAGTGAATGTATGGGTTTGCACCTTGAAGTAAGTTGTTGACAAGATAAGCCTCTCATAAAGGACTGCTAAAGCATGTCTCGCTTCAGTTGTGTATGAGATGTCTACTCGCGAGTCAGAAATGACATGCTGACTAAGAACTCTATGCAAAGGTTCCTTTCAGCCCTATCGTCGATGACGACAGTCAGTGCTGCCTCTGTTAGTTGATCATCCCAATAAAGCCAGTGCTATTCGCCTGGGGGGGCGGGTATAAGGTGATCAAATTTAGGCATCCATTTGGGAGTCTAAAGCCTGCACGAGATACGAGAACAAGCGGTGAAGTAATAGACCCTCACACGCCTCGTTCCAAACGAGGTACAAGATACTGATAGCATGCAGTTAACAGGCCGGTCATCTACTTTAACATAGAATACCTCTACGGACAGCAGTAGTAAGTAATGCCCGGAGGTATCTCCCCTACTTTCTACTATGTAGATGAGCGCAACGACCATCCCCCCCCCAAGACTGATGATGTTCATCAATCCACATACACTTTTGTTAGAACCCAATGACCATGAACGGCGTCAGTCAACTTCACTCGTTGCAATTTCGGAGGTATCATGTTAGAGCTATAGCGCAAACCCGCGACGACGCCGTAACCGTTACTGAACCAAGTGTTTTGTAAAATCTTGCGTTCTCATCAGGACAAACATCTGTCTAAGCAATCAGTCAGCGCAATTCTTGCTAGAGTCCAAACATGAATAGTGGCAATGACCGATGCTTGAGCTTCAGAGAGAAGATTATAACTCGACATATTCCAGCTATCAAGACACTGCAGACCTTTTAAGGGACCGCAGCATCTCTGCCCGGACTTCCGACTAAGGATGACGATACGATATGGTTTTTCATCATGTAGAAAGCATGCTGATGGGGGTAACTATGACAGAGGAGGAACTTACAAAATCATCGACCAAATCTCATGTGTGAGCTCGCAGGGGCACCTGACTGCCCTGGTGGCCTGTCGTAGACTGCGTTGGGTGAGTTACCCCGCCAGCGCATGCTGTATCAAGAAAGTGCTGAAGCCATTTCTTCAATCATCATACGAAATCCGACGTCTCGGCATCGATCTTTCGTCGGAATGCTGGCCATGTTCTTCCTCTCCGTAGTCCAAAGAAGCAAGTCCCTTGTCGACAACGTCCCACGTGCGCTTGCGCAAATCGATCTGCTCACCTCCATCAGGTCTGTTGTGGTTATTTTTCTTGCCTCCGCGACGCTTGTTCTTATTCTTGTTGTTACTATCCTTCTTCTTCTTCTTCTTCTGCTGCTGCTGGTGCTGTGAAGATCCCACCCCCGCTTCCTTTGGGGAAGAATCGACCTCGCCCTCAGAGAGCTGCTCCCCTATGGCACCCTCAATAACAACGACGCCGTCCGCCGCGGGATCCATGACCTTCTTGATCTTGGCAGACTCCCTCACACGACGCATGGCTTCGAGTTCTGAGTGCCGGAAGATGGCAATTTGCTCATCTGTCAGAGTTCGCTTGACGCCGTCGGGGTAATAACCCAGGCCGTCATCATCCTCATCGTAGTAATCTTCTTCGTATTCTTCAGGGTAATGCTCCTCTTCGGCATGGCCCCCTTCCAATTCATCGGCTGTGGCGCTGGCAGAAGCGACAACCGAGTCATTTGGACGAAGGAAATGAGACTCAAAGTGGCCTGTGGACAGGTTGGAGAAGTGGGCTTCATGGAAAGCAAACATATCAGCCTGCGAGATAGATGATGTAACGCGTTAATGTCTGATCATCGCCAACCACAGGAATCACGAAACAAAAGGAAACATACCTCGCTGATTTGAGGCACCTTGAATGGCAAAAGCGCTGCCATTGTTACAGGCGCAGGCCAAACGGCCTGTTTAGCTGCTTTGCCTTGGTGGTGCTTGTTCGGTGGGAATCAGAGCGAACAACGGGGAATGGGGAATGGAAATCAATTGGAAGCTCAAGCCAAGAAATGCTGGAGCTCTACACTTGCCGGCCGGCAATTGCAGAAACGCTGCAGTGTCACGTCTCCACGTGCACCTTCAGAATGACCAGCAGTTAGGCTGTCAGCCACGTCGGTATCAGCCACGCCGGCATCACCGCCACGACGGATGCCATCGCAGTCTTTGTGTTTACTTGGATGTCGACTGCAACTGAAACTGAGCATCGTTTCAGAAAAGCAAGAGTTTGACATGACTCGATCCTGTCGCTTTGACAAGCTCATGTCCGTATTTTTGTTTTTGTTTTTATTTTTGTTTTCTTATTTTTGTTGCCTTTTATTATCCTCTATCTATACGCAGCAGGATGTGCGCTGCGTGTGCTCGTCAAGCACGAGTATCGTAGACCAAGCCAATCCCACACTGGCAAACTCAAGTGACGCCGCGCTATTCTAGCTAAATAAGACGGTAATATTATAACACGCAAGATGCATCAAAGTTCCGAGTCGCTTAGAACTTGTATACCTGGTCGGGAGAGTAGCCGAGCTCCTTGAGGATACCGGTCAGCTCGCCCTGATCCCTGGGGCTCTTCTTGTTGCCGGAGATGGAGTTCATCATGCCGGGTGGGCCGCAGACGAAGATCTTGATATCCTCGTTCTTGGGCTCAGGAAGGACGGTCTTAAGGAGGTCCTTGTTGATGTAGCCCTTGTTACCGGCCCACTCCTTGGGAGGGTTGTCGAGGACGTAGAAAGCGCGGAAGCGCTGGGGGTAGTGGTTCTCGATGGTGGCGAGCTCGTGCTTGAGGAGAACGTCCTCCTCGCTGACGTTGCCGAAGACGAGAGTAACCTTGGTCTTGTCATCGGGGTTGTTGAAGATGGCGCGGATGAGCTGGTACATGGGAGTGATACCGGTGCCGCCAGCAACGAGGGCGATGTGCTTGTGCTTGTTAGCCTCCCAGGGGTACTTGGGAAGAGGGCCCTTGATGTCGAGGCGCTGGCCGGGAGCCATGTCATGGAGGTAGGTGCTCATGGGACCACCCTCGTACTTCTTGACCAGGAGGTCAATGTAACCCTGGGCACCTGTTGCTCGGACGTTAGTCAACGTATTATCATGGGAAACCAATGAGTCAATACGAAAACACTTACTCTCGTCGCTGATGGGAGTGTAAGGCCTGAGGACAGCCTTCTCAGCATCGAAAGGCTTGAACTTAGTGAGGACGGCGCTGGCAACGTGGAGGCCAGATACCATGTCGTCCTCAGGGAGTCTGAAGCGCAGGCGCTTGGTGTTGTGGTTGACCAGCTCAACCTCCTCGAGCTTGAGGCTAAGCCAGCCCTGGTCGCCGCCAACGAAGGCCTTCTTGATCTCGCCGGGGGTGATCTTCTCGGTCACCTGCTTAACGCTGGCCTCAGCCTTTTTGGCGGCACCAGCGCCGGAGAAAAAGTAGGCGCCGGCACCGGCAAGACCAACAGCGGCGGCACCGAGGAGGATGGTGCTGCTGCTGCCACCCTTGGAAGGCTCGGTCGCATAGGAGCGGCGGGTCTGGAAAGACTGTGAAAGGGAAGGACGGGAGTTAGTTTCATGACTTCTAGAACGGCTGCTGGTTGTGCTTAGGGTCAATGTGTCAAGTGATGCGTGAAGCTGTCGCACATGGTGCGCTGCGCGTGCGTCTGCTCCAATCTTGCTCAAGGCGCATTCATGATGCCGTATATGCGTCCGACGACCACCAGAACTGCCCGTGACGGCAGGATTGTGTACCTCGAAGCAGCAACACTTCTCAGAGCCACAGTAAATTCGAAAGAAGAGAAGGGGTGGCTTACCCTCTTGATGGGGGCGACAGCCCGGAAGGCGGATCTGGTGCTAGCAACGAACAGACTCATTTTGACATGCAGTGTCTGGAAAGCAAGAATTGGATGAAGGAGGGGAAGATCGGACGAGGTTCAGGTACGCCCAGTGCAGTCAGTGCAATGCATAGAGGCACTGACTCCTCCCTCCTTTGGGGTCCCCGTACCTTTTTCAATCGCGGGTTCGGAAGCGTGGGGAGCTTGGTTCGGGTGGGTGGGGCTTACGTCATGCAGCGATCTCCAGGCGTGATCGAAAATCTCATGTTCCAAGCCGTCATCGGATTCTTTTCCACCGGCGGCAGAAACGGGTTTGTCAGCTTCAACCAACTCCGCAACCGTTACTATTCTGAATTCGCATCTTCCTGACACTTTGTGTATATCCAAGGCGGGTTTCTCAGTATACTGCGTAGTTACCACCCAGGCTGCCAACAAAAGGATGCGGAGATATCGGTGCAGTTCGGGTAGACTCGATTGACATACTATGGTCCTAGTCTTTATGTACTGATTCTTGATTTGACGCCTGCTCCTAGCACCTTGGCTCACTCATCAATTTCTGAGTCCAAAGGGAGTGGCTAGGGAATATGACGAATGACTTTTGAGGGTTGTGCATTACGTATAGCCTCCATAGCACCGTATTAATTCTTTTGTTCGACCAGGCCATGCTGTCAGGCTCTGCAATCTGTACACAGAACAACTGCTAAGACAATAAGTGATATCCAGGCTTACTCTAGCTCCTCGTACTCCTGCCTCTCCCATTCTAGCTCCTCCTCGGCCCTTGATTATCTCGATTGCTCTGCTACCCAATTCAGATGGTGACGGAAAATAACAGGAAGAAGAAGAACGCAAACTTCCAACGAAAGAGCAAAGAGAGCGAGAACAGGAACGATGGATGAGTATGCAAGAAAGTGGACGCCATTAAGTCGCAATGTTCCGGTCTACATCGCTTCCTGATAAGGTATGCTGAAGTCAGTAGCCTCTTCCTATCGTCCATTACATGGGGATTATTTGATCATTATCACCGTTCCCTCTCCAACCTTATACTCCCTTCGCTTTAAATGACTGAGCCCGCTTTCTGCGTCAGTCTTCAGCAGGACATTGCGTCGTGTCGCATACAGCAATCATCATCTCCACCACCCCTTTCATATTCCACCTTCATCACCTGTCCGCTTCCGCTCCCGCTTCCCCTGTCTTTTGGGGCTTGGTATCCATCGCGACCTCCGGCTCAGCCTCTTCGCTGATACTCTGGTTTTCTATTGCACCTTCTTTCGGTGTCTTTTCCAGCCTCGCGCCAAGCAAAGTCTGCAACGTCCCTTGCTCACTACCCCTCCTCTCGTTTCTGCCGACAGTGTCCTGACTGCCGCGGCGCATCAAACCGGCATCATGAAATAAGTTCGTGGGCGTGTTCGCTTGACTGCCACCCCGTTGTCCATGATAGTGGACGACCTGCGGTGGAGCTTGGCCAGCCTGTGTTCCCAAAAGGTGCTGCGGATAGGGATCGAGGTCCTTGCTTGACGTTGAGAAGGTTGATACGACCGGCTGATGGTACTTGTAATCGGACCCAGAGTGGCTGTGCCCGTACCCATTGGTATTGGAGCTTGAAGTTGGTGTCGAGTGGGTGTTGTTGTTGTTGTTGTCGTTGTTGTTGTTGTTATTATTGTTGTTGTTGTTGCTGCTGTTGCTATTGTTGTTGCCATTCACACCAGACCCGCCACCACTGTTGGAGCTTAGGCTTTGTGTAGGAGTGTGGCCAAAGGATACGCCAGAGGTAGCAGCAGTGTGTTCCGCCTGAGTCGGTGTTCCAGCTTCCACCGGGCTAACAGGGCTTTCGCTAAGCTGGCCGGTGAGGCTGTTCATACCTCCTTCGATATCGCGTAGCAGCCGCACATATTCCTCCGGCACAAGTCCGCTCTCTTGCGTTTTGGGGTCTTCCGCAACCAGCCAGCCCTGTCCGTGTCGATACGACACCCAGATGATTTGACCCTCAACCAAAGGCAACTCGTTCTCGTCTTCCCGCTGGAAGTCGTACAGCGCCACGGCCTTACCGTGCATCTCCTCATCGGGAGAGGTAATTGTAAACTGGTAATCACGCGAGTAACGCGATTCGTCCGTCTCGTGATAGCCACCAGGGCTGGAGTCGTCCAAGTCGGATGGGTAATCGTCTTCGTACTGGCGTGGCTGTTGGTCGGCAACTTGGTATGCGCTGTGGCGTGCCTGATCGGCCGGATACGTTACGTACTCGCCGCCTGGCCCGTTGGCCTCGCCTCCCTGGTTCACGTAGTAGCGCTCGCTGCCATCCCCACTGGTGCCAACGTAGTAACCCCTCTCCCGGTCGTAGTTGCTCGGGTTCATGACCGAACCACCACCACCGCTCCTTCCCGCACCATAGCCACTGCCGCCACTGCCGCCAGCTGACTTGTGCTTCTTATGTCGCGAACTGACCACAGGACTTTGAAGATCTTCATCCTCGCTCCACGGAGGACCATCGGCGAACTGCATCGCGGGGAGATCGTTCGCCCTTCCCCAGCCGTCGCTGCTCCATGAGTTATCCCAGCTATGGCGATCCCAAGATGTCGGAGGGTCAGATAGGCGCCGTTGCTCGCTGGCTGGGGTAGTCATGCCTGAGGGTGGCCGAGAAGGTTCCGGTGGGGGTCCATAGTGCATAGGATGACCCACGGGGTAGGCGAAGTCTCGCACCAGCGTGTACGGCAGACTGGATGGATAGATGGGGAACAGTTGAGAGGGCGGCCGGGAGCGTGAGGGAATCGAGCTCACAGTCGAGTACTGCGACAGGCGGTTCTTGGACGCGTGCGACATTGGCCGCGGTAGCGCGCTCCTGCGAGCGGGCGGCGAGGTCATGAGCGGAGGAAGTGGGGGATGAGCGGCTGAGGTCGACGCCGAGGTGTTGATGGCGGGCGGAGAGGTCGCTGGAGACGAGGCTGGCGATATGATCGCCGTCATGGTCGAGGCAAAGGAAAAAAGATAGGGGGTTAGCAAAGCCTATAGCCTAGCAGTGCCTGGCGTGCCTGGAATGCGCCGCCCGGACAATCAATTGTTGTTGTGGATCCTTTCCA